AATAAACCTAGTTGAACTGTATTTTCCCACTTAACCTTATATTGGATGCATTATCCCAAGAGTACTAAACATGATACTTTGAAAACATTATATACACATTTATGTTTCAAATAATGGTTTTATAAAACAACAGAAATACAAACTGCAAAGAGTAGGAAATTTAAGTTCACTAGGGACTTCTCCTGAACTGACTTAGTCTTGATCTTTCTTCTTTTCTTCCTCATACGACACTCCTTTCTCAGCAATCAAAAGAAAAAAAAAATCCTAGGAAAAAACCCATTCTCTAATTAATGTGCCGAAGACAATAGTGTATGCATCATTCCTTTGTTGTGGGTGGGAAAAAAAAATCACTCTCAGGACCACCATAGCCTGTACAACCACCATAGCCTAAATAAACTAGTCCATAAGAAGGAGTCACTTACTGACCCAACATGATGTCACAGCTCCAAACCCCTCAAACTCCAAGGCACCAGCCACATCTGCAATGGGTCAGCTGCATTTTAACTTTGAGGTAATTATAGAAGCTGGCACAGTGGTAAAGAGATTTTCAATTCTGTCAAGATACAAAACTGAAAGAGCTGACATATTAAATATATAATTTATCACATTTCTACAGGTAATTAAAACAACATGTTTTTCTATACACATATATAGGGAGACTATTTCCTGGACAAGGATTACATTTTTCTTTTAATATGACAGTATGTAACACATTGAGGTATTTAACTTTTTAATGGCTGATTTCAAGGATTAGTGATTGCCTTATCCAGGGTATTCCTGCTCTTGAATCCGTGATTTAAGCTACCATGATTGCAGTGAAATGTTCACTACCAAAAGCATCATAGGGGAAGCAAAGGAGAGGAATGAGAGTGGGGAGACAGACACATGGAAGACAAAGAACATATCACAGTGTAAGGTGATCAGTGGTGCAAGAGAACCAAGCACATATGGAGTCTATGGGCAGGAGAGGTGGAAGAGGAGAGGTGAGTGGTGACAAGGGATTGAAACATTCCAAGAAGGAAAAGAGTGCCACAGGTAATGTAACAGCCTGGGCAAATGCATGGAAGCAAAAGCAGCAGGGGGAGGGTAACGAAGGAGTTGTCTAAATCAGGAGTCCCCAACCCCCGGACCACAGACCAGTACCAGTCTGCGGCCTGTTAGTAAACAGGCCACACAGCAAGAGGTGAGCGGAGAGGCCTAAGCTCCACCTCCTGTGAGATCAGCAGTGGCATTATATTCTCATAGGAACACAAACCGTCTTGTGAACCTTGCATGTAAGGGATCTAGGTTGCACACTCCCTATGATAATCTAATGCCTGATGATCTGAGGTGGAACAGCTTCATCCCAAAACCATTTCCACCCCTATCCTCCCACCCCCATCCATGGAAAAACTGTCTTCTACAAAACCAGTGCCTGGTGCTAAAAAGGTAAGGGACTGACGGTCTAAACAGAAAGGAAGACTCATGTAGGAAAGTTGAGGAAAATGAAGCTAGAGAGAAGGTAGCATTGAATGACAACTGGCTTCAAAGCCACACAGAGAAATTGAGCATTTAACCTGTAATGAAGCAGTTTACAATTCCAGGAAACATGAGAGCTTCTGAGCAGACATCCTCACCAATCAAAAACAAACAAACAAACAAACAAACAAGAAAGAAGGAAGGAAGGAAGGAAGGAAGGAAGGAAGGAAGGAAGGAAGGAAGGAAGGAAGGAAGGAAGGAAAGGAAAGGAAAGGAAAGAGAAGAAAGAGAAGAAAGAGAAGAAAGAGAAGAAAGAAAAGAAAGAAAAGAAAGAAAGAAAGAAAGACAGACTGCCACAGATTTCTAAGCTGGCTGCCCCTCAGGGTTCATCACTTCTAATATGTTCCATGGCCAGAGAAAGAGCATTGCCCTCTCCCCTAAGTGCATGGGTGCACGAGAGCATGCACCGTTCACCCATGCACTTCATATACATCCTCCTTCCCTATGGACAGTGAACTCAGAAAAGAGCAGGAATATGCCAATAATATCAACAAATGGCAACAGAAGAATACCTACATATCCCGGATGCTTCGAGAATAAAACAACCCAAACAGCTTTGCTTATCAGTCTAGGTTTCAATACATTTGTATAATTTTTAAACAACTGGGCATTAAACAGAATTTTAATTTTAGTTTCAGTCACCTTATCCAGCTGTCTAACCTTAGAAAAAAATACAACTGAAAAACATTTCAATTAAAAGAAAAAAAGAGGAGTTCAGTATTTTCATTTAAATTATAAAATATAAACATGCAGTATATATTTAAGATTATTTTTCATCAAAAAAGAGTAAGTTAGATGCTAATTTTTATGTAAAGACACATTCTAATCATCATTCTTTTATTATATAGACCCTTCTTCTCCACCACCACCAACTTTCATGTTTTGCTGTTCAACATGGAAAATCTTTTCCCAGAAAATAACAGGCTAAGAGTCACGAAGTCCTTCCTGATCCTGTGCCATCAGTCAGAATGATCTATGGCATTTCAGGTTATTTGAGTATCAAAGAGCCACTGCACTGTCCTAAAGAGAAGAGCAATGTACAAGTGGCTCATCTCTCAGTGGCATAGCAGCTCCCAGAGGTCCTGGACCAAGTCACTTTCCCCTGTGCAGCCTTTCTGTTAGGGAGAAACTTTCCAGCTTCAATAGAGAAATGCTCATTCACCAATAGAAGACACTGATTGTTGTTTAAAGATGCAAAAGTCTCCGATGCTCTAATATAGTTATGTTCCTATATATGAGGAGTGCAAAAGGAGCAGACTAGTGAGCACAGAAAATCCCTAAAACAAGTTGGATTTGGAATTGTATGCTCCCAGTGAGCAAAAAACTCACTGCACATCACAATCTAACAATGATAATGTTTATTCACTTTCAACTTTGCAAGCAACTTAGACACAGAGGCAAATGACTGAGGTAATATTCAAGTTCCCAGTGATGCAAATAATTTACTTCAGGCAACAGAATATTCTCTGTTGTCAATTTGAAAGCTTGTAAAAACCTTAAGCCATCACAAAACTTCTCTGATTTTTCTAATCAATTCTGAAAAATCCCCAGAGGTCACCAGGGGTCCTTAACATACTAGAAAGGAAAGAAAGACTGTTGCAAAAGCTACAATCATCATTTCTACAAAATATTTAACCTCAAACCCTTGAGACGACTTCATCAAACCAATCCATTTATAAATTTTGCAAGCTATACAAACTGAAATCAGAACTGCTTTCCAAAAAGAAACTCTGGGCCAATTTATGATGGCCCATATCAAAATAAACTTCCTAGGCAAATAAGGACAGAGGAGAAAGCAGCCTTCTCCACGTATGGGTACAGCCTTAGCATAGCCTATTCCCTTCAGAAAAGTTATACTGAAGAGAGTCTACCATGGGAAAGGGTAATTACAATCATGACTATTGTACATTAAGTATTAATTACTTTACACAGAATTGTCATATAATTGTCTTAACACTAAAGAGAAAATGGTTTGTACTGGGTATAATAAAGTAGCAAAAAAAAAAACAACTCAACATTGTGATATATGGAAATAAATGCAAATATGTCGCATTACTTCTATTACTAGAGTTAGAATTCAACCGTGGGTTGGTTTTATAGAAACTACTATGATCCCCAATCCCTACATTCATGATATTTTTACTTTTTTATGATACAGGGTCTCCCCAAGTTGCCCAGTCTGGTCTCAAATTCCCGAGCTCAAGCAATCCTCCCACCTCTGCTTCCTAAGTAGCTGGGACTACGGGCATCAGCCACTGTGCCCAGCCATGATCTTGTTTTCTAACTAAACATAGAACGTAAGTGAAAAGTGAGGGAAAGAGGGGAAAAAATCTGTGAAAGATAGCTATCTACTCTGATAAATTTATTTAAACGAGAAACTTGAGCTTCTTGTTACTCACTTAACAGCATTCTCACAGACACGTGACCTCAGTTAATAATTTCCATAAGTAAAACTGGAGAATACTTCAGAGAAGGATTCTTAACAGAAAGCCTGCCTGAATTAATCCTCTAGACACAGAAAAAACAAGGCCTTCATGATGCTCAGAGACATTTCCAAGACACTTAGTAGTCAGGGATCTGATTTTTAATTTGAGGCAATACAAATTTCTTTTTTATGAAAGAAAGGTAAGAAGGGTAACCAGGCACGCAGTGGCTAATGCTTATAATCTCAGCACTTTGCGGGGCTGAGGCAGGAGAACTGCTTAGGCCCAGGAGTTCAAGACTAGCCTGAGCAATAGCAAAACTCATCTCTACAAAAATATTTTTTTTAAAAAATTAACCAAGCGTGATGGTGCATGCCTGTGGTCCCAGCTGCTTGCGGGGCTGAGGTAGGATCACTTAGGCCTGGGAGGCTGAGGCTGCAGTGAGCCATGATCACCTTCCACTGCACTCCAGCATGAATAACAGAGCGAGACCCTGTCTTAAAAAAAGGACAAAAAGGGGAAAAAGATAAATTTACATCCAGGAATGGTAAATGATTATAAATGAAACTACGTTACATCCAGCTGCATCACAGCAATCTAGTGAAGGAAAAAGGATGTTTCAACCCACACCAGTTACAAAAGGATACGGAAAAGGATATGGCACATAGATTTTTACTGAAGGTGGTTAAATTAATGTAAAGAGTTCAAGTTAAAAGTAAAGACAATGTAAAGAAACCTACCGCATGTTAACTCTAAAATCCAGCATGTTTAGGAAATGAGTCTCAGCTTCTTCTGTAGAACCCTAAAACATATGTCAAGGCTGACTGATTTTATCCCATGACATAAACCTGGAAGACTTTTACCAGTAATAAGGCTAGCTTATATGAAGTGACTCTTTAAGTTCCAAATTCCTTTTACCTGTAAATTGTTTATTATGTATGATCTCCTAATAGTATGTATTTGTTACTTGTTGAATTTTTTTTTCTATCCAGCAATTTTTTTACAATAGCTTGTTTTACATAACAAAAAAAAAAAATCCTAAAAGGGTCACCATCTCACCTTCATCACTTGGTGCCTGTTGCTTCACAAGAGTCATCGGGGATCTTGCTGGAGGCCTGCTAAGTGGATGGCGCCAACTCTTAGAGGTTTTGTTCTCTCCCTCTGTTATCTAGTTACAGAACAAAAATGGTGGAGAAATACCATTATCAAAAACAAACTACCAAAATAAAAAACCTACAGTTCACAATGATTTATAACTTAATGTTGAAGAAATCTTGTGGCTGTTTACCTCTTGGGGAATTAGTCCTTTAAGAAATTTAACCTTAAGGTCAAAAGAAATAGGTATCAATTCTAGTAATTTTACCCAGAGGTCAATTAACTCTTCTTCTACTTTGTATTAAAATACAAGCTGTAGGGCAGGGTAGGCCTATTAAACCTGCAATAAGCTAAGCAGTTAGCAAGTTTTCTAAAGGTCTTACAACTAATCTACATTTAGGATTATAGGCCAGGCACAGTGGCTCATGCTTGTAATCTCAGCATTTTGGCAGGCCAAGGTAGAAGGATCACTTGAGCCCAGGAGCTTGAGACTAGTCTGGGCAACACAGGGAGACTCCGTGTCAATAATTTAAAAAAAAAAAAAAAAAAAAAAATTAGCCAGGTCTAGTGGCATACGCCTGTGGTCCCAGCTCCTCAGCAGGCTAAGGTGGGAGGATCACTTGAGTCCAGGAGGTCCAGGCTGCAATGAGCCAAGATCACACCACTGCACAACAGCCTGGGTGACAGGGCAAGAGACCCTATCTCCAAAAATAAATAAGTAAATCTAAGATTGCATTCATAAAAATACAGGACTGTGGCTCTTGATCACCTCTAAGATGTTCCCATGTTAACATTTAGCAAGGAATTTTATTTTCTATCCTCCCAGAGAAGACAATCCTGCAAAGTTGAGGCTGTATACTTCTTTCCATTCAGAAATGAATCACCACTTCTAGATCACATACATAAACAGTCAAACAAGAAACCAAAAGTATTCTCTTTTTTTAATGATACATTAATGCCATGTTGAAACCACTTAAATTTTACCAATGATTTTTTTGTCCTGGGATTTACAGACTATATAATCCTTTCCCAGGTAGAAAGTCATGTGTATCCGTACACCTTCCAGCTAGGACCCACCTTTTAAGCTCTCTTGCTTGCACAATGCAAAATTTTTAAAGGCACGGGGAGGGGACAGAGGATATCAGAGAGAGTTTGAACCCAGCGGGCTTACATCAAGAGTTGACTATGAAAGAAAACAATTTTAGTCTTCTTCCTGGTAAGCTGAAGAAGCAGTGGCCAGATATAGAGAAACTACTCTGGCCTCTGACTCCAACACATGATTCTAAGAAAATGTGTAAGACCATTGTAATCAAAGCTAGGAATAAGAAAAGAATGACAAATGCAATATAGGATGACAGCTATCTATGTTTATAATAGCTAAAAAACAACATGGGAAATTATAACTCAGCCAAGAAGAAATATCACCACACTACTGTGCACCATACTCTTGTCATAGCTGGAGCTATAATAGGATAAATTACATCAGGTTTCTGCTCTCAAGAAGCGTAGATTATAGATGGGTAAGGGAGTATATAATAAATGAATAAATCGTATTTATCAGATACTACTCGGTAAATATGCAACGAAGAAAAATAAAGGACAAAGGAACAGAAAGTGATGGGGAGGGGCAATTTTATAGGGTAATCAGAGAAGGCCTTTCTGATACAGTGATACTTGAGGGGAACTTTGAGTGCATACATATGATTATCTGGGGGAGGAGTATTTGGGGGAGCAAGAATAGGACGTAAAGTGAGAACATACGTGGTGTGTTCCAGGCACAGCATGGAGCCCAAGATGGATGGATGGATGAGTAGACAGAGTTTAAAAAATAACATTAATACTTACTGAGTAGATCAACTAACACCAGCAGCTATCAGCATACACAGAGCATTACACTGAACACTAAAAAACACTGGCCAAAACTACACAAAAATTAAGTGGGGCGGTATTACATCTAGGAGTTATCCAACACCACGATGTAAGAAAAGAATGTCATGCAGCTATTCTTATGGGCAAGCCAAGCCTCTCAACCTTCAATAGCAATGTTGGTTTCTCTGCTGTCAGTCTTTGCTCGGGAAATGATAAAGATGAAGGAAAAGAGCACTAGATCTATAATCACCTTCCTTGAGAGCAAAGAAATCTGAAACTTTCAGCTCCATTCTACTTTAAAGAATGTCACTAAATGTAACTAAAGCGGGCATTTGACTCATTCACCTGTCCAAAGAATATCTGCTCGGCTCATTCATGAAATTAAGTTGTAAATTTTTTTTCCTTTTTTTATTGAGACAGAGTCTCGCTCTGTCCCCCAGGCTGGAGTGCAGTGGTGCGAACTCGGCTCACTGCAAGCTCCGCCTCTTGGGTTCACACCATTCTCCTGCCTCAGCCTCCCAAGTAGCTGGGACTACAAGCGCACACCACCAGGCCCGGCTAATTTTTTTGTATTTTTAGTAGAGACGGGGTTTCACCGTGTTAGCCAGGATGGTCTTGATCTCCTGACCTCGTGATCTGCCCACCTCGGCCTCCCAAAGTGCTGGGATTACAGGCGTGAGCCACTGCACCTGTACCCCCGTCTTTGTTTTTAAGAAACAGGGTCTCTTACTCTGTCACCCAGGATACAGCACAGTGGTGGGATCACAGCTCACTGCAGCCTTAAATTCCTGAGCTCGAGTGATCCTCCCATCTTAGCCTCCCTAGTAGCTAGGACCACGGGCACACACCACTAAATTTTTCTTTAATTTTTTTGTAGACACAGGGTCTGACCATGTTGCCCAGGCTCATCTCGAACCCCTGGGCTCAAGGGATCCTCCCACCTTGGTCTCTCAAAGTGCAGGGATTACAGAAATGAGCCACCACATTTGGCCAAAGTTGTAAATTTTGCTTACTAGTATGTGAATGCCATTTTCAGACCACTCTTAGGCGCCTCTTCAAAGAAACCAGACCATATTTTTTTTCATCTTTCATGTTTTTGATAAGTGTTTATAAATTCAATGAGATATACAATTCTACATAAAAAGATAAACGCTATTGGGTCAAATCAGAAAAGTATATTTAATTAACATTTTGCGACTGATGAGAAGCAGGGTATTCAAAGCTGCTATCCTTATACAACCTCCCTTGCTCCTACTCAGGGACACAAAGACCTGTTTTGAGTTGAAACGAGCAGGAGCAGTGTCTGTTCTGCAGCCAGCACAACTTGTCAGTTCAAACAATTACTCCTTCCTCATCCACTTGAATTCCCTAATCAAGGTTGGATACATCAAAAGAAGTACTGAATTCTGACAATTGCTACAGACAGTTCTAGCTCCCCTGATCCACTCTTATGGCTACATGGACAATTTCTACTGAATATGGAATATTAATACTGCACAAAGACAATATTGTACAATTTTCCAAAAAGTCACAATGGGAAGCTAAATAACACAGGGGGGTCTTTTCTCAGAGGCAGAGACCTCTTTCGAGGAGGGGGCAGGACAAGAAAGGTCACCTTGGTCTTGAGATTCAGGGTCCATGAGGAAAGAGTAAGAAGCAAGCATGACCAGGTGAGTCCTGACACTGAAACAGAAGCTGTGGGAAGGCTGGGACCAGGAGGAATTAACTATTAGCAGGAAGTAGTCAGTGCCCAGCAGGTGAATTCTTCTGCAAGTGGCAGAACAATTCTGTAATCTTTACTGTATCAATATCAATATGACTGTGACTTTGTACTATAGTATTCTAAGACGGTAGCATTGGGAGAAACTGAGTAAAAGGTACAAAGAATCACTGTGCACTATTTCCCACAACTGCATATGAATCTATAATTACCTCAAAATAAAGAGTTTAATTTTTTAACAAAAAAAGAAAACCAAGCGTCGACATGTGGCCATAAGCTGCGTGTGCTGAATTATCACTGTGTGAGTCACAGCCCACAGAAGGCTTACCTCCCAGTTACTGAATAAATATGATTAAGACCCACAAATGTAAAATGTTATTTATCTGTGCCCTAAAGGAGGATTTCAGTGCACAGAATGTTGTTTTCAAAATGTGCTCTCACCATATAATGAATATGGTAAAAATGGATATTGCCACATACACTGGGGACTTTGAAGCCATTTCTCTCTCCACTGGGGACCGCTGGGATTTCCCCAGGTTCAAGGCCATTCCCATGGCTCTCCACATCACTCTCTTCTTCCTCTGTTAACACATCATTACTCTCTGACACTGATGAGCATGACTGAGGTGACTTTGGCCATGAAAGCTTGGGTGGGTCTGATTTCTCGGGCTTCTCATAACCACTAGATAATGGAATGGAATCATCAGCCTCACTGAGTATAGAAGGTACACTTCTATATGCATAAGCTTTGTCATCCTCAGTTTTTATGTCTTCTGTTACAGATGTACTTAAGCAGCTGTTTCCTGAGGATAAAACAGAAGACTGTTAATAAATCTTGCATTGTATTATTACTAAGTAGAATTAGTAAATTATTCCCAACTGATTCCATATCTTACACACACATGCATACGCATGCACACACACATACATGCACACACACAAAACAAGCCTCATTTGTACCCATCACATACTAGCTCTGATACTGAACAATCCAGTTCTTCTACTTAAGTATTAAGCCAGGGTTCAAAACCTGGAGATCAACATGCAAAGAACCATAGAGTGACAGAATTAATGAAATTGAGGGCCCTTAGGCAAAACCATCCAGCAATTCATAAACTGGCTAACTAAACATAGTGTAAGAGAAAGCATGATGAGGGGCCGGGCACGGTGGCTCACATGTGTAATCCCAGTACTTCGGGAGGCCAAGGCAGGTGGATCACTTGAGGCCAGAAGTTCGAGATCAGCCGGGCCAACATGGCAAAACCCCAGCTCTACTAAAAATATAAAAATTAGTTGGGCATGGTGGCACACACCTGTGGTCCCAGCTACTAAGGAGGCTGAGGCAAGAAAACTGCTTGAACCTGGGAGGCAGAGGTTTCAGTGAGCTAAGATTGTGCCACAGCACTCCAGCCTGGGCGACAGAGAGAGAGTCTGTCTCAAAAAAAAAAAAAAAGGACTATAATGAAATATCCATATGTATTGCCTAACTCTCTTTTCTGATTTGTTGTAATTCCCTTCGCTACCTTCTCTACCTTGCTATCTCATATCCATTCATCGAAACTCAATTCAGATATCACCTTTGCCAAGAAACCTTGGCTCTCCAGCTTTTGTGTGTTTGAAGTCCTTCCTTGGTAAACCAGCAACATCCTAAGCAATCTGTATAATGCTACTTACCACACTGGATTGTAATTATGTGGTTATTTGCCTCGCTCTCCACCAAAACATGAACTCATTTTTTTAAAGTTCTGTGGTTTCACCTCTATCCACACAGCTATTTCAAGAGCAAAGGCAATGAGGCTGGAGAAGCAGCTGAGGACCAGTTCAGGACTATATGAGGACTTTTTCTTTTATTGTAGGTGGAATAATACTAAGAAGAAGGTAGTGAGAAGACCTAAGCTTTTTTTCTTTTAAAGGATCACTCTGATGGTCACCTGGAGAACTGACTAGCTGACGTGACTACAGCTGACACTCCTGAATAAGAAGGAAGCAATTGCTGCAGTCGTCCAGGCAAGAGCAATGGTGCCATGAGTGAGGGGGAAGCAGCAGAGGGAGTCAGATTCTGGCAGAGTGGGGAATCCCATGAGGAAGGATTTACAGGATGAGAAGTATGAGAGGAACACAGGAATTAGCATGATTATTACGAGACAAAAACTCCAACAAATACGGAAGAGGCAAATCATTAAAGCAGTTTCAGAAAAATATGCTACCAAAGGGAGAAAAGGCAAAGTAGCTGAGATTTTTAGACAATTGCTTTAGTACAGAAGAGAAGCGAGGGGACTATACATGTCATTTCACTAGGTTGACTTTTTATTATTGTTGTTGTTCTTAAAACCTTGATCTTTATTTTCTTCTTAAGTCGAAAGCTAAGAATCTACAAAGAATTATCGATAATTGGTTTTCTCTACTCATGTGAATTCAAAAGAAGCCTTCCAAAAACATATATTGTAAATTGAGTGGCACTAAAAAAAAAAAAAAAAAAAAAAAATCATTTTAGTCTCTTCTTTTTTATTAAACCAAATAGGCACTGCTGGCTGCTTGTCTCACAATTCTGCAACACACAGCAGTGAGGCTTTGTATAATATCCCCTGGGACTCTTGGTTGAGTTACCCCATGACTTTGGGTAGATTATTGATTAAGCTATGTGGACTAGTCAGATACTTGTCATAGTGAACATCAGTTTAAGACATCTGATCATCAACCACCTACTACTTATATGTAAAACATAATCAACCATCTTCTCACCTGAGAGTTTGATATGATCTGATAAATTCTGATCCACTTGCATCCTGCTAGCAGAGGACTCTTCTTCTGAAGGTGCTTCTGTGTTCCTCAGCTTCACTGCTGCTTCTGACTTTTCACTGACCTTGAGGTCATCTGTGCCTGAGTCGGGGTTAGGGACCTCTGCCCCATCGACTTCAGCTGACACTTCCTCTTCCTCCTCAGCCTTAGGCCTTTTAGAGGTAGATCTAGCACACTGGAAGCTGTCAACAAGAGAAGCAGTGGTCAGAGTGGGATGTCTGCAATGGATATGAAAAACACATCCCAATATAAATGTCATTTTCACTTGCTTAAGGAAGGAAAAAACTGACATTGTTAATCACTATGCCAAGTCAATGTTCACAACTGAAAGATTAAATTTGAAATCAAAATCTTAAGAACAATTCTCAGATCAATCAATAAAATTTTAAGATTCACACAACTGTTAATAATTGATTATTAAACATTATTTTGAAAAAGGGCCATTGCTAAAATTTTGTAGCAACATTTTAAAAGTCTGAAAATAAAAATAAAGTAAAAAATGTTGAAATGAGAGAGAAATAAAATCAATAAATAAAATATTTAGATAATGAAGAAAATAAATGAAAAATCAGGATATCCTGTAAGGCTAGTGCTAAAAGGAAATTTTTCATATTTCAAGGTAAACCACTGGCTACTTTTCATTTAGCTTTGTATAATTATCAGGTATGTATGAAAATAGTTCAAATTAAATGCCAATTCATCAACAGCTAAAGGATTTAAAACAGAAACAAGGCTAACTGGTACGTGGTTGTGGTTGTGGGTGTGGGTGTGGGTGCGGGTGGGTGTGGGTGTGGGTGTGGGTGTGGGTGTGTGTTTCATAAAGACACTGTCTCACTATATTGCCCAGGGTGGTCTAGAACTCCTGGCCTCAAGTGATCCTCCCTCACTGGACTTCCAAAGTGCTGGGATAACAGGCATGAGCCACCACATTCAGCCTAATTTTATGTATTTAACATCATACATCAACATACTATTTTCAGAGTGAACACAATTTTTATCTTCTTCCTCTCTATTTTCCAGCTAGTCACTTGATAGCTTTGGCATATATGCTTTTTACATATGAAATAAACATTCCTAACAACTAGGAACAATTACAAATCAACTCAAAGCAACAGTGTCCAAAACACACCCATATGTATTACACACACCCGAGAAACCAGCACAGGACTAAGCACTGTACGATGTCAGAGATTGCAGAGAATAGGGTGGCCAGCGATAACCTACATAAATCAGCTTTCCCTGCTGCTGATGGCAGTAACAGTAGTAGTATCGTCATCACCATCATCATTTTTGTTGCAAATCCATGCATTGGCTGATGTGGGAAAATCTCAACATTATAAACGGTGTAGTACGTGTGAAAAAAAAGAAGGCTGACATGTGCTTGAGACGTCGATGAATCATTTCCTTCATCAGACTTCCCTAAATGGGATATTTCCAAAGGGAGATCAATAATCTCTAAATATCAAGCCACAAGGCTGAGCATATTAAACAAGCCCATAGTCAGGCTTTCTAACTAGGTAAGCAAGTTCCATTGATCATTTGAACCTACTGACAAGCATTTCGATCTCTGCAAGTGTCATAAATCTATGATCTCTATCAACCCAAAAGGCCCACTGTGGTTAATAACTGGAAACCAAGTCATACATCTAATGAAAATATTGTGTTTTCCCTCCACTAAAGAACAATGTTCAAGATGTTCTACTGGTATGTATTCTGAACTCAGGATTGGATACTGCCTCCTTCCAATGCTGGGTTCTTTCGTGCTATGAATTAACACATTTATCAAAGACACTGACTGTCCAAATTAGTATTTCTCAAACTTTTCTTGAATGTAACACACGGTGAGTTATACATTTCAGATAGTGGCACTACATACCACAGACATACATACTCACACGTCATGAGTGAATATTTGCCCTTACCACAGAGGAAGCACTACAATAGTTTTTATTCTATTTTACCACCTCATTTTAAAATGTTGGTCCTGACCTACTAACAAACACACTGACAATCATTGTGGTAAACTATAGGGTGAAATATCAACACCTGAGTTAGTTCTGCACCTCAGGTCTTGCTCTTACGAAAAGCCGAAGTTTGGCTCCATGTTACTAAGTTTCTTTCACTCACTACCATTTTAAATTAGCAGAAAATAAATATCAGGGAAAAGACAAGACAGAAAATAAGCATCATAAGTCTGGGCAAAGATGTAAAATTATGGTGTTACTTAGTTAATATCAAAAAAGTGGAAACACTCTACAGGGGATAAAATACATGCAGGCATTAAAAATTATGTTGCAGCAAATCAATCAGTTACATGAAAAAAACACTCAAAACTCATCATCAGATTGTTAATAGAGCATGGCCCAAGATTCGGAAAGATATATAATATTCATAAAATACAAAATAAATATATAGGTAAAGGATATATACAAAATGTTAACACTGGTTATCTCTGGATAGTGAGGTTATGAGTGATATGGGATTCCTTCATTATTCTTTTCCTTATTTTACAAATTTTCTCCAATGCACAAATATTACTTTTATAATCTGAAAGAAAAACAATGAGTAATATTGAAGAGGAAAATTTAATATAAAATTGGAAAACATAAGAGCCTTAAAAGGTAGCCTAAGGACCTGAGCAATGCAACACACACCCAATTCAATAGGTTTTAAAACAACAAGATGCCCACAGCAGATCTAAAAGCTTTTGAAATGATCCTGGCCACAAAGACAGAATGGAGAATAAAGTTCACAAGGATAAGCATGTTTCAGAAATGCCACGTGCTGTGTTTTACATCTTACGAAAGAATAAAACCAAGTGCATAAAATGTAGCAAAATATAAGCATCCAGATGAGAGTAGTAGCTCGGATGTTGGACAAATGAAGAAGATGACCACTAAAGCCAAAAAGCAAAACGGTGGCAAAATGAAAAAGTAGAAAATCAAGTTATTGATTAACATATGGAAATGCACAGAAAGGAACAATACAGCCATAAAATACATTCAAGTAAGTGGTCTAACAAGTTCTATATTGTTCTATTTGCCATGTAGAGCAACTTCAGGAATATTCTCAAACAAAATAAATATACATCTCTTCCTATATTGTATTTATTACACATCCAACAATTAAAAATAATTTGTGTCACATTTTCAGAAAGGTATTAAGTTACGATGAATAAATAGAAAAAGCAAGTAGATTGCCTTTGAGAACACCACATCCAATGACCCATTTTAACTGAGAAAACACTATAGGCAAGGAGGGTCAGTGGGGTGAGGGGTCATTACCTCCGGGATGCTTTTCTTACTTTCCTCCTTCTCTGCAGCCATGCTTTTACTTCAGGGGTGGATGCTGGAGTAGGCTTCGTGTGATCAATGGTATATATATCCTTTCCTTGTTTCCAAAGCTGATACCTGTCTGGCTGAAATTTCCTCACAAAGATATCCATTGAAATTTTCACCATGTCTTTCCTGCAAGTGCACTGAAACACAACCGGGTTGGAGAGTGTTAAACGTTTCACTAACTATACAGTAACACAGAGTTGGTCCTTGAACACACCATCCATTAATACTTAGTCACTACATAATGGAGGATAATGCATCACATCATCAAACATTCAGTGGGTGATAAACCCAATTTCTTCTGAATAGAGAGGAGAATCTATATATTCACATTTATAATGCGGTTATAATGGCTTGTGGACCTCATAGGGAACTATGTACCAAGAAAAACTAAAAGGAAAGAGTCTTCATTTGGAAGCATGTCTGCAATGGAAAGACTATCCGCCCATCACAATGATGTGTCAATGAACTGAGCACTAAAAGGTCTGTAAAGCTGAAAACCTGGGTTGTCAACAAATAAAACAACCCAATCAATGTGTGATTAGAATACTTCAACCAATGAGTTGAGATAAATTTACTCCAAGATATATTTTGTTATATTTATGGTTATTAACAAACTGTCATAAGGTAACCCAAAATTAGGAGCAAATGAATAGCCTTTTCTACATCACATTACATACAACATCCAATAACATTAACAACAACAAACATATCCACTAAAACGAAGACATGGGGTAAAGGTGAGAAGTTCAAAGAAAAAATTATTTTGATCTACTATGCCTTTAATTCTCATGAATACATAGTTATCAGTCACATCTTATTAACCAAGTTTTCTATAAAGACTTCACGCAAAGTTTTATCAGGTCTAGGCCAACACTAAGCAACAGGGAAGTTATCATTCAAATGGTGGTGCATAAATAATCTCCAAGATTTAACTGATACACCTTGACAATCCCTAACATACCTGGTAACAGACTGACTGAACAGTTGTGACATAATAAGACTTTAGATATCTTGGTGATACAATTATCGCCTCCATGCAAATTAATTCCAAAGTCTTAATAATATCCAAACCCAAACTCCCACCACAGAGTTCTCATCCTGATGACCATTACATTCAAAATACCTAAACTTAATGTCTTCAACTGCAAACCACACTGTCTATACCAAATGATACCACAGTTCTATTCTCCCACATTCATAGTCCACATTTCCTAGACACTTCCTACGCCTTCACCCCTAAAAATTCAGCCTTGTCTCCATATACGGTGTCTCCTGTCTCAATTCCTTCCGCCAGCATCCTTGCAGCTGCACTGCCAGGCCTTGAATCCTAGCATAGAAGGCTAATTTCCCTGCCTGTCATTTCTCCTAACAATAATCCATCATTATAGCTGTTACTTTCATCTCCCCCAAATATCTTACAATCTTTCATTCCTGAGTTCAGTAAGGTGTAATCACCCTGCCTTTCCTTTAGAATAAGGTCTAAATTTATGAGCCTGGCATTAAGGGTTCCAAGATTTTACTCCACCAATGAGACTTTCAGGTTTCTCTCCCGCAGCAAGTCAACATGAATATTCCTCTTCAACCCAAGTCATGGGAGCCCAAATGCCCCATATACTTCATTACTTCAGTATTTTCCTCCTACCACACCACCTTCCTGCATACTAGTCTGCTATCCAGCAAAACATCACCCTTAGCTCTGAATATAAATTGTTCCAACTATTTATCTGAACCTAACACTATTCATCTACACTGCTGCTTTCTATTATTGGTTACGTATAATGAGGGTTCGAAGTTATCTTGCTATAATTATCTTGCCACTGGAATATAGAAAATGAGGGTCCTGAGAAATTGAAAGATATTTTGGATTAAGATGTAATCTATTGACAAAAGGGAAAAAAAAGCTTGGAATTATAGCAAGAAGCTTTCTTGAAGTGTTACTAATATTGCTTCACAAAGAAAAAATAAACAGTGAACAAAGTGATGCTCCCCATTTTAATGAGCTAATGTAGGCCTGATCGTGATTACAACTGTAACATCCCTAGGGCAGATAAGCTGGTGAGGTACAGAACACTATTTCTGAGGAAGGTGTCTCAGAAAAAAAACCTTTGACCGGATTAATATTCATCTTGTTTGCTCAGATGATGCTACGAAGCCTAAACAGAAACAGCAGACAAGCCATGGTCAAAGAGGAGGTTGCTCAGAGACTGGAGGATGGTATTGCTAGACAAACTTGCTGAACAGATTAGGCATGTGACTCATGGATCCAATCAAGCATGTCAGCAGAAGCCAGGAACAGAGAACGTGGTTATCCAGGAAGTAGCTGTGCAGGACCGTCTTGCTTGATGCTTGGATGTCCATGAACTGCACAGAAGACTGACAAGGATTTTGAGACTTTTATGCCAGCAGAAATGCTGCCGGCCTGAACTGAAAGGAACAGAGACAGGAAAAAATAAAGGAATGACTCCAAGGACAGAGCCACAAACGCAGAACGACTAAGTCAACCGAACCTCACTGGGCTATTACAACAGCCCTAACAAACTACCCTTCAGGAGGTACAGAAACATGCCACCATGTGTCTTAAGATTTGTTATTTGAGGATTAAATCAACCAGAAAACCCACCTACACTAAATTTTTCTAAATGACCTAAACCCACCAACAATTACAATCTCAGTAATGGTATAAAAGATAATATAAAAAGATAAGTTTACACCTTTAAAGTTTATTTGGAATTATTATGCAATGGTAGATGGGAAAAAGATAACACCACATCAATTTGCTGAGAAACTGTAAGACCCATGACGCAAATGGTGTTTAAAAGACTGGATTCAAACTCCAGCTTCAACACTGACAAGCTATGAAATCTTCAACAGCTTCTTTAACCTCTCTGTGCCTCAGTTCCCCCATCTGAAAAACTGGGAGGAACAGTGGCAACTATCCTCATGGGGCTGATAATAGAATTGGCTTATACAAATTGCTTTTTGGTATTCTGACCACAAGAACATAGAGGTTTCTAGTGTTATCTTATTTTGCCTTACTGAAAAAGTAGAAGCAATAAACGAAATAAGAATCAGAATACTGCATCTAATAAAAGGTCTTAAGGGTCAAGGGGAAGTAAGTGCATGGTGCTTCTGAAGAATCAAACAGAAGGAGCAATCCCAGACTTCTAGGAGACTGAGAAAACCCTAGAGGACTGGGCCATTGTCACGGGAGAGGTGAGAGCAGTGTACCTCAAGTTCCTGTTTGCATCATATGTTGCAACCAGACTCAGCTCCATGGATTCACATCTAGAGCAAACAACTGAAACTGGAGGCCCAGTATATGACAGGCATTAATAAGAGGAAATGCCCATAACATGGATTAATACTGCCCAGGTGTTCAAGGTAGGATGCTGTAAGGTAAAATAAGATGGAGGCAGGGGTTCGACTCATGTGACTTCTTCGTTCTCCACTGTATTTAAAAAACAAAATAGGCCTCCTTTTAACATAAGAGCTTGGTATTACATGGCAACATGTATGTAGTTTTGGGAGACATGAAATAATATCCACTTGAATCTCAGGATTGAAGAATAACTTTCAGAACATACCGAGGAAAAGTTCCTTTCTTGTTTACATAAAATAAAACTCTAGTGAATTTCAAACATATCATATCATAACCTAAAGAGGATATTTAAAATTTAAAGAGAATTACTACCTTTCATAGAAAAGTGTTAATTTTCCAACAATTATGAAAAGAACCCAACGTAGAAGATGAATTAGATTTGTTGAACAGGACAATCATAAAGAAGGGAGGAGCCAATGGCAAACTCTTATTCTGAAGATTTAAATATGTCCAAATGACAAGAGGTGCGTGGGTATAACCTGTAGTCCCAGAACTTTGGGAGGCCAAGGCAGGTGGATGGCTTGATCCCAGGAGTTCTAGACCAGCCTGGGAAACATGTTGAAACCTCGTTTCTACTAAAAATGTAAAAATTAATATCATAACCCAGTCTCAAAAACGAATAAGCCCAAATGAAACACATATTGTTGTCTTCTGGTGATGCACGAGTAGATACCATACCTTTAGACCTATCCTGTCCTGTTCTATCCTTTAGATCTGAAACACTGTCCTTTAGAGTAGCCACCAAAAATGCATTTACCGATAAAAATGACTTATGCCCAAAAAAAAAAAATCAAACAACATATTTATTGCTATTTCCTTAAGAAATGGGAATGGATAATTTAAAAAGCAAAAGTTAGTTTTAAAAACCCTAAATTTTTAAATCAAACTCCAGCCTCCCCTCTCCCAAAAATGTTATTGCTCTTGAAGGTTATCAGCTAATTATCTTTGAGGCACAAATTACATTAGATCAGAACTACAGAATGAAAAAGGCATCTATTCTATATTCTATCCAACACAAAGCAAATGTGCCTGACATCCCCCAATATATAAGGTATAAAAACATGGGACTGTGTATAAAATTTTAAAATGCAAAATGTTCAATGAAATCGCAATTCACTGGCTTTAAGAACCCAACAGTTTATATGTTATTAACACAAGTTGCCTGCTGAATAGTACTATATACATAATATTATGAACAAATGGAAGAGACATTCGATATTTCATTATTTTCTAACAACCCTCATGTTAGTGAAGAAAATAAGAATTAAGAATGTATTAACAATCATTTCTAATTTGTATTATGACTTCATAATTCATAATTATTCATTGTTTCTTTATTCATTATTTCTATATTAAGAAGTAACAAAGCACTGCTAAGTGTCAAGAATCAAAGTAACCTCTTATTTAACCAAGAATACGTCTGGTGGTGGTAACTAACAGGGCCAAAATCATTAATTAGGCCTGACATGTAATTTTATTCTAGCTCCTCAGACTACACTCTCATAATCACGTAGATCTGTGAAAGTTCAGATATGTTAGTCTTTAAAAAAAAAAAAAAAAGTGTAATACCCTAACTGAATTTTTATTTTATTTCTGAGACACAGTCTCACTTTGTCACCCAGGCTGGAGTACAGTGGCGCAATCTCAGCTCACTGCAATCTCCCCCTCCCTGGTTCAAGCGATTCCCCTGCCTCAGCCTCCCAAGTAGCTGGGATCACAGGGCATGTGCCACCACTCTCGGCTGATTTTTGTATTTTT